CAAAGCATGTCACCTCAGCTCCTGGAAATAGCAATGGTCTTCTGCATCGCCACTGCACACAATAAACCAGGCTGTTTGTGTAAGGCGCTTGGGGCTCCGTCGCCAGCACGTTGCATTTGAGGTGTATTCCCCATTGTGTGCCTCTTGTAATCCTTTCCCCTCCGATGAATGTAAATGCAAACATTAATTCCCTCCTTGTTAATTATAATCTTGTTAATAATAATAATTAGAGGGAGATGGGCGGAGATAAAACTAATAAATAAATAAATAAATAAATAAATAAATAAATAAATCCTAGCGCTGGGGGAGCATTCCTAAGGGCGGGGGAGAGGGTAGGAGGAAAACAAAAGCCAAAGGTGTGCAATTGATTAGTCTTGTCAGTTTCAAGCTGGAAAACACAGTCACAGTCATGTGATTTCCCATTTAGCAACCGCTCCGCTTACTGACAGAATTGCCAGTCCCAGTTGTGGTCGCTAAACGAGGACTACCTGGACTCTGAAATCACAGATCAGGTCTGAAAATATGGGAAACTACCCAGAGCAAAACAATGGAACAGAAAAGACCCGCAGAGTTTATAAGAGGAGGGGCAAAAAAGACTGCCAGAGAACAGGAATAGCGCAAAAGGAGCCTTTTTGTACTTGTATTTGAAGTGCCAGATTGGAGCTTTCTGAATGTGTTTTTTAAAACACCTCTGCCTCCTTTTGCTCATCAGCTAATTAGAAATCTTTCCCGAAAGTTTTGCAGCTCCAGAGGACTCCAGATGCTCAGGGCAAGATCTCTGCAGCCGAAACCGTCAGCAAAGAGAACGAGGAGAAGGATGGCCTGGATAAGTGGAAAATGCTGCAGCGATTTCTGTGTAAGCCCCATTGTGACAATTCCACAGGTATGGTCACGACTTGTCAGGTTCAGCCCAAAGAACTCCAAGAGACAATGCGAATACAGTTCTGTTGTGTTTATTAGCTACAACCTCCAGACAGAAAATCTCCCCAGACTGAGCCTCAATTCCCAAGCCAGCCAGGCACAACACCGTGAATTCCTTAGGGAGGTGCCAGCCTCATCTTCTTGAACTTCCCATGCTCCTGCTGGGGGCTAAGAACACGCTTATCTCACTGAGCCTGGCCTTCATAAGTCCATTCCATCACACGGCTTTTGCATAGCAACACTAGCACACGCCAGCTAAAATAGCTCGAAAGTGCTACTGGTTTTCAGGAGAAAGACGTACTCAACTCAGGGGTGGCTGGGGGTCAGAAAAGTCAAGATGGTGGCTGCAACCCCATGACTGTTGCCCTGCCTCTTTAGACATGCATTGTAGGTAAACAAGGTCCAGGCCATCTGACTGGGGACTTAAGTGTGGAGAACGTGCAGGAATGGCAAAACTAACAGTATATGTTTCCTATAGACGCAAGAATTTAAGCGAGAATGGTTCCCATATATACAACGCATCATGCATGGCAAATATATTAACTCACAATCTGGTTTCTAAGGGGGCCTAAACGTCTCCAAACATTGTCAATTACCAGACGTATAAAAAGGGGGAAGTCAAAAACGTAATAGCTCTTTTCCCCCCACCTCCCTTTTTGATCCTTTTTCCTTCTTGTTGAGTTTGCTCCGTTTCTCTATTTTTTCCTTTTATTAACATTCAATTATACATATCATGCTAAGTAACAATACAAAGGCTTCATTCATACTAAGTATAGAGTACTAAGATCGAAACTTTCATTGTACAACAAATACTTTGATGCTGTTTGCAGTGATTCTTTTCCATTGTTACACTCGACTCTGATGAACCAGTCAAAGGATTCTCTGCTTGTAATTTTGATATCCGAAACTGTAACTTTTCTTTGCCTTTTTTCTCTAGTTTCAACACCTTAAGTTAACGAAATAATAGAATAATAGCACGTCAATAACCTCCAATTAATATTGTATGAACGCCACTGTCCTGAAACAAAATGTTTCAAGATAGGATTTGATTTGATTACGTGCCATGAGGTTGTCCTTGACTCCTGGTGACCACATAGATAGAATTATCGTCAATTGTTTTATATTTTCTGCCCATGTGGTTTTCTGGGTAAACATACAGGAGTGGTTTAGGATGGCCTTCTCCCGTGCAGTATGAATGATGCCTTTGCCTCTGTCGCTCAAGTGACCATCTGCCTTCGGCATCTTCCTGTCTCGCTGCTGGGCAATATAGGTGCCCGTTTGCTTTAGCGGGGCAGCTGGGATGACCTTCCCGCCTTGGGTGACCCTGCTGGGAATGTAGACTCTGGGTGTCCGTCCCGGGGCCCTCCGCTCGTCCCTCCCAGGAACACCCCCACGCCAGCCACAATGAGGCAGCACAGCAGGACGTGAGGCGTGGGTCAAGATTTATAACAAAAAGCCATGGGGCGGGGGGTTCCACCTTCCTGACTTTCTTAACCCAGAGAAAATGCCTTGATTCAACGTCTTCTCTAAAACCAGTAAGCTTTTAAATGCATTTGGTGGCTAACCTGTGACCCACGTGAGGTTTGCTTTTAAAATCCCTAAATTGGGATACAATGGCCTTGTTTGCACAGTTGCAGATATTGGATACGGATGACACTTGACTGTAAACAGAGTGCTTTTAAAGCAAAATAATCTTATTGGTTCTTGTAAACTTCTAAAACTGTTCTCACTTTCAGGGAGATAAGCCACCCAAGCCGTGACTAGTGCTTGCTGATTAGTCCTCCTCCTTGACCGCTTTGTCTCAATGTCTTCTATTAATCCCTCTCCATTATTGTATAGTTTCTGCTTACTTTGATTTCTCTTTCCCATCAACAGCAGATAAATAAAATGCTCGCCAATTATTAGATAAGGGTTCGGCATATCTCAAAATGATTTTCAAATGTAATTCATACTCATAAGTTTTACTGATTTTGGTGAGATTTCCCCTCCCCTCCAAAACAACACATTCTTGGGTCTGCAACAGAATAATCATAATCATAAAAACGTATTAAATTTGTATGTTGTCCAACTCTGGGTGGCTCACAGCAATCAAACAAAAACAGAAAACAATAAAATCAATAAAACATAAAATGTAACAATAAAAGATAGCATGCAGGATGAAGCGAGGGGTCTCACTGTCCCTCATGAAGGCCTGGGTGAAAAGCCAGGTCTTCACAGCTCTTCCAAACAAGAAGGTCAAGGATGAAGACTAATTAGGAATTAATCTGTTGTATGAACCAATATGAAGTTGCTTAGATTTGAAAAACAAAAATCCATTCAACTTAAAAACAGTAATGTAACATCCACATTTCATTCCATGTTGCTTATGAGTACAGGTAGTCCTTGCTTACTGACTGCTTGTTCAGCAACCGTTCAAAGTTATGACAGTGCTGGAGAAGGAGACTTATGACTGGTCCTCAAAGACTTATGACCCTGGCCATTGCAGGGTCCCTGCAGTCATGTGATTGTGATTCAGCTGCTTGGCAACCGGCACACATTTATGACGGTTGCAGCATCCCATGGTCATGTGATCGCGATTTGCGGCCTTCCCAGCCGGCTTCCAACAAGCAGAGTCAATGGGGAAGCCAGAAGGATGTTGTACGTCGCAGTCACGTAACATTGCGCTTAATGACCCATGGTGATTTGCTTAACAACTGCAGCCAGAACTTATGAACTGATGTCATAAGCAGGCGCAATCATGTGACTTTCACTTTACAACCATGTTACTTAGTGATGGAATTGCTGGTCCCAGTTACAGTTGGTGAGGACTGCCTGTGATTTGGTGTTAGTAATATGCAGCATTTATACCTGATTCCAATAAATGAATGAATGAATGAATGAATGAATGAATGAATGAATGAATGAATGAATGAATGAATGAATATGGAGCACTTTTTCCCCTTTCAGGGAATTTGAAGCTATGCCCCAAAGACTGGCTGCTTCATGAAAACAACTGCTATTGGATCTCAACAGAAAAACAAACCTGGAATAACAGTAGGGACGACTGCAGAGCCAAAGATTCTAAAATTGCGATGTTGAAAGAACAAGCAGAACTGGTAAATGCCAATATCCTCCCTCATTTAGTAGAAATTTGTAGTCAATAACGGTGTATTTCTGCATTAGAAAAATTCATATCCTCTGTCTTACTTTTGCTAAGAAAAATTAATTCTGTGAATCTCCAGAAGTGATTCCAACTGTTCTGAAAAATTTACTCTCAAATCCGAGCAATCTTGCATGTAAATGTTTGTCCTACATAAATCAATGCAGATTTAAAGCAAGAGAATGGCAGCTCTGAAAAGTTTTGCTTTTCATCTTCGGGCAGCACCCAGTGAGAAGGGAAGTATCTAGACAGAGCAATTGAGGCTTTGGTGAATTCAGAGGGTTTTTTCTTTCCTTGTACCTTGAGCAGTTCATAAACTGCTGGCTTGTCAACCTTCAAGGTGAATCAGATCAGGAAACCAACTCCACAGGAAGATTACACCTACAGGTAGTCCTCACTTACCGACCACTTGTTCAGTGACTGTTCGAACTTACGATGGCACTGAAAAACGAGACCTATGACTGGTCCTCAAAGTTGCAGCCATTGCAGTGCCCTAGTGGTCACATAATCGTGATTCGGGTGCTTGGCAACTGGTGCACATTTACAATGGTCACAGCATCTTGTGGTCACGAGATTGCTATTTGCAACCTTCCCAGCCGGCTTCTGACAAGCAAAGTCAATGGGGAAGCCAGCAGGAGGTCACAGGTCGTAGTCACATGATGTTGAGCTTAATGACCTGCAGTAATTCATGCAACGACCGCAACTGGAACTGACGTGTTGGTGACATTGTGCTTAATGACCGTGCCACTTAGCAATGGAGTTGCCGGTCCATATTGGGGTTGGTAAGTGAGGGCCACTGTGCATTTGATTGAGATTGGGTATGATAACGGAATCTTGCAAGTCTGATTGGGTTCCTCCTCTTCTCCCTCTTATACCCTGGTGAGTTGGGGGGAGGCAGCCTGAATCTCTTCCTAATACTACCTCCTTTCTTGGGGCTTGAGGAAGGCTTCTGCCCTTCTTGCTTATCTAACAGGGCCTGAATATTTGCCCGAAGGCCATCTCTACAGCTCTCTACCTAGCAGGGGATAGTCATAGATAGAGATGAGGGAGTCGTCAGAAGAAGTCCAGAAGTCTAAGGCTGGAGCTCCACAGACTGCTCCGACTGTCCAGCAGGGCAAGAAGCAAATGGGACTTGGAGCAGGCTGCCAGAGGAACACACCTGGGAAGCAGGACAGTGGCTTCCAATAAGGGAAGAGAGAGTTGCTCTTTTATGGCCCGATTTTCTCCTGTGGCTGATTTAGGGGAGCTCCGGCCCTCCCCTCTCCTGAGCTGCTGCGGTGTTCTGGCCCTTCCTTGCCTGAGTCAGCCTATCTAGCGCTGTTGGTCGTCTCTGGGAGCGGGATCAGCTCAGTTGTGTATGAGCTGCTGGTTCTCCGGGCTGACAGAGCATCAGGTCCACCTCTTTAGCCTCCAGTTCAAAGCCAGAGGACTCCATAACCATAACCTAAAAATGCGTTCCAGAGAGTGCTCACTTCTAAATGTATTCTTGACAGCACTTCATACAGCGTATCTCCAACGGGGCACAGCTATTGTGGATTGGACTGTCTGTTAATTCCACTACCCGTGAATGGTCATGGATCGACAACTCCCCGTTAAATGATACATTGTGAGTATTCTCGTGCATTTCATGAATATTTGAGCTGGGAAATCTATCTGTTTTCTTTTTCCAGTGTTTTGTGCCTAGTCCAGTTATTTTCATCCTTAATGCATTGTGAGGGTTGCTTGCTTTCCAAGGACTGGACGCACCACTGCATAGCAAATCTGTGGAGAATGCTTTATGACAGCCCACACCTCCCCCAACCCCAGACTCTTGCTCTCCACCCTTCTAGGGCTTGCACGGCGATGTTGCCATGTAAATACGTCTTTAATGCTCAGTTCTTTAATACTTGATACTTAGTCT